TTGACTATGGATTCCAGATCAGGCCACATAGGGGGCATGTGGAAGGCAGCCAATCAATTATTCTCCATCATCATTGATGTTTCTATCTTTTCCTCATCTGTAATACTATCAACAATAAAAATACATATATTTTTAAAATACTTGTCTTTGAAGACAAAATCCATATGATTTCACTTCTCTATGCAATCTAAAAAAACTATCAGTAGATGAGTGGATAAAAAAGCTATGGGACATTTATACTATGGAATCTAAGTAGCTGTAAACGAGAGGGCTCTCTTACCCGTTGGGACAGTATGTATGAACCCAGAGAGTACTATGCTAAGTGAAATAAGCCAGTCAGGGAAAGACAAATATCACACAATCTCATTTGTGGCATGTAAGGAACAAAATGAATTGACCAACCAAATAAGACCCGAAGCATGGTGGCATGGAACAGACAGACATACCTTGATGTGGGGTTGGGGGTGTGAGAAGAGATAAACCAGAGAATTTATATACTTACATGCATAGCCCATGGACACAGGCAATAGGGTAGTGAAGACCTGGCGGGGGGGTGGGGGGGAGGGTAGGGGCTGGGAGGAGGGAAGTAAAGGAGGGGGATGGGAAATATCTGTAATACTATCAACAATAAAAATACATATATTTTTAAAATACTTGTCTTTGAAGACAAAATCCATATGATTTCACTTCTGTATGCAATCTAAAAAAATAAAATAAATGAACAAACAAAACAGAAACAAACTCATAGAATCAGAGAGCAAATTGGTGGTTGCCCGTTGTTGGCATTGCCGAGTTTGAAAGGCCCGTCTTTGCCAGTAACTAACTCTTCATTAAAATCTGTGCCACGAAGACACTGTGTCCCATAAATGGGGTTTCTTCACCATGATGAATGGCATTCAGTCCGGCCGGCGTGGCTCAGTGTGGAAATAAGCCAGTCAGGGAAAGACAAATATCACACAATCTCATTTGTGGCATGTAAGGAACAAAATGAATTGACCAACCAAATAAGACCCGAAGCACAGAGGCATGGACCAGACTGACATACCAACCAGGAGTTCATAGTTCAATTCCTGGACAGGGTACATGCATGGGCTGTGGGCTCAATTCCTAGTGGGGGGCATGCAGAGAGCAGCCGATCAGTGATTATCTCCCATCATTGATGTTTCTATCTCTCTCTCCCTCTCCCTTCCTCTCTGAAATTAATAATAAAAATATATTTTTTAAAAAAATGAATGGCATTCAGCCCTAGTCAGTTTGGCTCAGTGGATAGATCGTCAGCCTGCAGACCGAAGGGTACTGGGTTCGATTCTGGTCAAGGGCATGTACTTCAGTTGCAGGCTCCTCCCCGTCCCAGGCAGGCCCTGGCCTGGGCTTGTGCAGGAGGTAATCAATCAATGTGTTTCTCTTACATCGATACTTCTCTGTCTTTTCCTCTCTCTAAAAATCATGGGAAAAATATCCTCGGGTGAGGATTGAAAAGAGAAAAGAAAAGAATGGCATTCATTTTCATATCTCCCAGTCTGTCTGGCTCTTGGCAAGAAATTGATGAGCATTTGTTACAAGAGGGACAACACAGAAGAAATGATTAACGAGTAGACACAAATGAGAGCGTGAACGATGGCTCGCCAGCACAGGGCTTCCTGGCCCTCACATCCGGGCACGACCTGGAGGTGCAGGCTGCACAGGGAGGTGCTTCCAGAGGGGGTGGGCTGAACGTGGAGATGAGTCTGAGCTTCGTCGGTTTATATTTGGAGAATCAGCTATAAATGGGTGCCGTAGCCCCAAAGACTCAAAGCACCTCAGAAGTAAGGCTGTGTGGGAACGGCTGCCGTTCGGGATGAAACAAACTAGGCTGGTATCAAAGGCTTCAGCGCTGCCGGGAGAGAGGCGAGGTCTGTCCTGGCAAACAGAGCCCAAGGCGGCCCATTGCCACCTGTTGGGCCACAACGCCCGCTAAGGCTCATCCCTGCCTCAGGCTGGCTCCCTGTTGCAAAGAGGGGGCAGCTGCGTCTCTCCCTGTGTCGCCGCAATCATGACTGAGAACAATTATTTGAACCCTGAGAGCTTACAATTCTCTGGTGATGCGCACGGGTGCGTCGTTTACAGCCAAATAACCGCCTGAGTGAGCATGGGGCGTGGAAACCATCGTGTTCTGCTTCCGTGTGCGTGGCAAGCGGAAACCTGGGCTGTGCGTGGAATTAGAATCACTCACTCATTCACTCACTCACTCACTCACGCACTCACTCAGCACGTACTAATAGAACACTGTGACAGGCAGGAAGTGTACACCATGGAATCTAGAGTCTGGCTTTATTCCTCCACATCTTGATCCAGAGAAAGGGCCTGCCAGAACAATGACCATTTGATGCCAGCTCTAGGGGAGTGACAACATACATCACAGACACCCAAGAACACTCTGGCTACCAGCCTTAAGAAGGCACTATCTGCCCTGGCCAGTGTGGCTCATGTGGCTGGGCGTCGTCCCCTGCACCTAGGTTGCTGGTTCGATTCCTGATCAGGGCACATGCCCATGGTTCTGGCTCTATCCCCAGTAGGAGTCCTGCAAGGGGAAGCCGATCAATGTTTGATGTTTCTCTCTTGCCCTCTCCTTTCCTTTCTCTCTAAAATAAATAAAAACATATTTTAAAAAGAGAAGACCCTGTCTGAGGTCAAGAGTCAAATCAGAAACCTCCTCTACGTCCCACAGATGACACCCGGGCGGCTCCGGGTCTGAAGCCTAGGCCCGCGCCTCACTCACTATGAGTCATTGCAGGAGGTGACAGAGAAGCGAGGTGTTCTAAGGTCGCTGAAGCCACAAAAGGAGGGGTGATGGATTTAGAAACCAAGGCAGATCTTCCCCATGGATGAACAACTCCAAGCAAACTGCCACCTCAGAGCACAGCACACCTGAGATGGTGAAGAAGCAGCTAAGACTCTTCCCTTAAAATTCGCTGCAGACCCATGAAACAATTGCAGGAACACTCCAGCCTTTCAAACGCGTTGGTGGGTGACTACACTGTAGTAGTCCAGAGAAGAAATGAAAGCGTGCACAAAACCCACCTACGTCCAACAGTGGCTGCAGCTCTCGACACACATGAACCTAGACACAAACAAGACCTACTTAACACAGCTTCCAGTTAGTTGCTAAGAAACCAAAACTGCCTGCTGCGAGTGTGACCGCTCTGTGTCTTGTGTCAACTTCTTACGCCAACATAATTAGAGTGAACTTAACATTGGAGAGGGCATGTGGGACTGCGTTTTTCGTCACCTGTACAGTTAGTCTATTATCATCCAGAGGCCTAAAGAATATTTGCCAGAGTCAGGTGACAGGACAGAGAGGTCAAGTGAGAATTAAGATCATGTGGAGGGAGGAAGGAAATATGATTCTGCACACGACAGCCCACAAAGGCCACCCACTGGGTGGCAACCATTCATCGCCCGTCCTTATCCCTTTCAAAGATGATGCCGCCATGCTGGTCAAGTATGGACACCCAGGGCTTGACGCCATGATCTGTGTAGCAGAGTGAGGGGCAATATTTCCACAGTTAATGGTCATTGTCGTCACCCTAAGCCGTCCCCCGCTCCCTGTCCCAGGAAAACAAAGGCTGCGTTCCTCTGCCCAGGAGTGAGAGGGTCAAAGGTGATGGGTGTTTCCTCCTATAAACTCTGCCCCCCAGCCCAGCCTGTCCCCAATGGCTGGGCATCCATTAGCCTGTAGGTGGTGGTCGTTTCCCAGAATTCCACAGTCACCCCAGAGCACATGAGGTGGGTTTGGTTTTTGTTCTGAGCTCCTGGAGGACATTTCATAAATCACTTCTCTTAGAAAAGCAAATGGTCTCAAGAGAACCCAAGGTTATTCATTCACTCCCTCAGCTGGATCTAAATTCCCTTACCTCGTCTCACTGGATGATCACTTTTTCTGTTGTTAATCCTCACCTGAGGATATTTTTCCATTGGCTTTTTTAGAGAGACTAGAAGGGAGGAGGAGGAGGAGAGACAGAGGGAGACATCGATGAGAGAGAGACACGTCAATTGGTTGTTTCCCGCATGGCCCCAATCAGGGCTGGGGATTGAGCCTGCAATTGAGGTACAACCTTTGACCAGAATCAAACCCTGGACCCTTCAGTTCGAGAGCCGATGCTCTATCCACTGAGCCAAACAGGCTAGGGCTGGATGATCAATTTTTTAAAACACTGACCCAAGCGATGACACACTAGCACTGGGGAGAGCACGGGAGACAGATACGTTAGGAAATGACAGTTCAGCGTGGTGAGCACCATGATCAGCAAACACATGGGGCTATGGGGCCCTGGTAAGGCAGTGATTCCTGAACTGGGCAGGGTGTGTGTGTGTGTGTGTGTGTGTGTGTGTGTGTGCGCGCGCGCCCTCTGAGCAACCCCAGGGGAAGAGAAAGAGAGAGAGAGAGAGAGAGAGAGAGAGAGAGAGAGAGGGAAGGGGGTTGTTGAAGAGGTGGCATCTGTGGACCTGCCACTGTGGCTTTGCCACTTAAGAGTAGACTTGGCCCCAGTCACCTTTGCATCTGCCCTCTGCCTAGCACAGAACCTCGCTCTTGGTGGTTGTGCAGTGACCATGGCCCTGGGCTACCACCCACTCAGGCATCTCAGATGACCCCTCACTATCTCAGCCATCGGTTTTGCCTTTCTCTGACTTGCTCACTCCCTAAGCCCTAGGTTAATGCATGTATGTGTGTTTAACTTTGACTTGACGATTTTGTAGAACCCAAATCAAGACCATCTTCCCGGTTCCCACCGTGGCTTGGAAAAGGAGCTCTTCCACTCGGGGTCTGGGCGGAGCCTGGCACGCTGGGCCCTTCTGGGCACCATTGCCTGGAGACTCCTCAGCTCAAGTCCTCCTTGTTGGCACCAGTGGAAGGTTCAGTTCAGGCCGGGGGCAGATGGCAGGGCTCGAGGGGCAGGTGCCCACCGTCCTCCACGGTCAGTGACAGGGCTGCACTCTCAGCTTGTGGGTCTGCGCCTGCTCATAGGTGTTTTTGATAGTCAGTCTGTTTGTTTGTTTGTTTTGTGGGGGGCGGTAGTTTCCAGGAAAGGAATACAAGCATCAATGAAAATCATTAAGTCAGAAAGAGGAAAAAACACCTGCTTTAAGTATTAGCTACATTTTGAATGACAGCCTTTTTAAAAATATACCCAACAAAAGAAAAGTTAGCCAATGTTCTTAAAAGCCACTTTTTATGAATACCTAATGTATCGAGCTGCATCACGTGCATTCTCCAACGTCCGGGCTGGGGGCGGAAGCTGCGTCCCTTGGATGTTGATCTTCCTTGACCTCTGCTTTCATCATGTCACCTTTCTGTTCAAGAGCTTGAGCTCATGCCTTAAACTTCATGACAGCCAGTCCAAAGTCTTAACTCCACCCCCACCC